ACCAGAAATCTGTTCTGCCATGGTTGGTTGTAGATCTGTGCTACATTTTGTAGATCTGTACTATATTTTGTTCTACAGATTTTTTTCCGAACCAGAAATCTGTTCTGTAGAATTTTTTTTTGTTTGTAAATCTATTTTGGTGGAGGTTCTGCATATTTTTTTTTCTTTTGTAGATCTATGCTACATTTTGTTCTTCACTTTAAATTTGGAGTACATAATTGAAATCTGTTAGGCCTCTTGTAACTGGTCTTCACTGTAATGAAATCTGGAGAACAAATTTAATCAAGTTAAAAACTTGGGCATGCTTTCATAGATGTATTTATTAATAAATATAGCGAAGTACATAACTCACATGGACGAATTATGAGTCTAACTCTCCCCTGAGTCTCAAAAAATTATATTGTTCAAATTTAACTCAAACCGTAATTGTAAAACACAAGCAGACAACATGAAACACAATCATATCAAATCTCACCAAGGTGGTAGTAGATTTATCCATGGAATGAGAATCACCTGCAATGACATAAAAAACATAAGGAAAAAATTCAATTTCCGTATCTTGTTTAGAAATTTCCATCTTTAACGTGGCCACTTCAATTACAACCATTTCAACCTCCTATGCCATGCAAACTACAATAAAGACCTTCAATATTTGGATCCCTTTAGTTAAAAACAGAGTATGGAAGTTTATATTTGGATCCCTTTAGGCTAGATCAATTTTTACGTTGCTTTATTTGTGGAAAGTGGCCTTTTAATTGTATTTATAGGTCCTTTCAAACATGTCTTGAGTTTTGATATTTATTTCTTCTTCCTTTTTTTTTTAAGAAAAAGAAAAAAAGAAAACAAACAAACTTAATGAAGAGCATACATCCACAACTTTTCTTTTAATTATAAAAAGGGAAAACCTAATCTCACACATTGAGTGGAGTGATCTTTGGTGTCATCTTCCTTTAATAGAACTTTAGCTCACTTTAGTATATCCTATATTCAAAAACATTATAACATATTATAATATAATAAATCATCTGATTTGCCTGAATAACAATGTCACAACTTTTAGGTTAGCAAGAATGAGAATTTGTCTATCACTTTTGTTAACTTTTTAGCTCTCTCATTGTTTATCCTTTCATATGACTACTAAACTTTGTCTGTTGCATCTCATTGGGGCTTGACCCCTCCACGAAAAAAGCTCCAAAAGGTTTCAACTCTATGCTTTAATACTTGCTCACCAATCAAATTTGAGAGTGAGAGAGAGAGAGAGAGAGAGAGAGACCAATTCACAGGTTTACTGGTGTCAACTTTTTTTCCTTCTTAATTTTTACTGTGTATAAACAATGATAGAACTTGAACCAATCATCAAATCTTCTTTCTCAATCTCCCTTGTCACAAATAATCTCCCAATCGTATTGTTGTAATGTAGATCTTGATAAGTATGAAACATTAGCAACTCAATCACAAAATATAATTTTTGATATTTTTCGAATTTGAAGTGATGGCATTTTTTATATTTTTTGCACTTGTAAAATGTTATCTCTTGATATTTTTGTAATCTCTTATAACCTTCTAATCATAGTGAAATCACAACAATCGTGGATGTAACTCTAATTTATGATGTAACCACTAATGTTCACAACCCTCCATGTAAAATTCAGTTGGTTTTAGCTTCAATTGGAACATGAAATCAATTGTCCTAGAGCAAAATCAAACACTTTTAACAGAATGCTAGTATGCTACTTTTGGATTACTCCTTCAAGCAGTCAAAATACAAGAATCTATCCAAAGTATACAATATTTACCCCCTACTTTAAAAAGATGACTGCTACACCAACCCACGGGATATTTAAACTGGTGCTTGTTCTTCAATGCCTCTTCATTTTATTTGACTTACATTTTTTTGAAATTTGTTTATCTATGAATAAATATACATATTTAGGCAATGGCAACAACAATACACAATGATCTCCCCATTGATGATGATGATGTTGTTGAAGTTGGTAGAGGAAACAGTGGTCCATGGCCTCAGGCAAATGAGGCTCTTTTCATTACCCTCATGGATGAGGAGATGAAAACCAAGAATAGTAAAATAACTAGAACATTCACTAAACAAGCTTGGAACAGGTTGAGAGATCAAATGAACGCGAAAACCCAATACCAGTATAACGCACACTAGCTTCGGGACAAATACAATCAGCTGCATATTATGTTCAACAAATTTACATCATTACTGAAGCATACTGGTGTTGGTTGGGATAGCTAGCGACTTACTATCACTGCACCGGATGACGTTTGGGAAGCCGTTTACAAGGTTTAATTAACTTTTTACATTTTCTTTGCTACATTTAATTGGAGAATTCTTCATGTTAACATGAAATTCATTAGGTTAATAGCCATGCAAAGAGGTTCAGGAAGAAAGGAATGGTTTACTACCATGAGTTGTCTCGTATCTTAGGCGACACATCCGCAACTGGTAAACTAGCTTTCCCTTCCACCAAATCACCTTCTGAAAGTAGTGCAGGTTTTGATCCTGAATTTAAGGTAAAGAATGAGGAGTTAGATGCATTGCAAATTGATAGTGATAATGACAATGGAGATGGCCAAGGCAAGTGCAAGGGCAAGAGCAAAATGGGAGGTAAAAAGAGTAAGAAGATGAGCTCTTTTCAAGCTAATATTTCTGAAGCACTCAAAGAAATGAGTGAAAATAGCAAGAGGAAGGTGGACCTAATAGAAAAGCGCTTCACAAGTGTTTCAGTTACTAATGTTGGCGATGACAGTGGTTCAATTGAAGGTGGCTCTACTCCCTCACGTTCATTACTGAAAGAGTGCATGGCACTATTGCATGGTATGGAGGAAATTCCTGCTCCTGCTTACACTAAAGCTATGAACAAGCTTGCATCGGATCCCATAATAAGGGAGGTATTTGTTGATATGCCTGCTAGTAGGATGAAGGATTGGGTCCTTAATCTTTGAAAGTTATTCTGAGAGAGTGCTGGAGATTTAGTGTGGTATGTGTTTGTGTTGTTTAATTTATTACTAATGTTGGATAATATTTGGTAGTTTATTATGGAAACAGGCTTATTATGGAAGTTTATATTTGGTACTGTATTTTATATTTGGTGCTGTAACAAATTTGGTAGTGTATTGTTGGATAATATTTGGTATTGTATCGTAGAAACAGCATGTATTTTATATTTGGTACTGTATTGTATTTTTTATTTTATTTGAGTTGTTTCAGAATTATTTATTATGGAAACAGAGTTAGGTGTATCCAACATGTTTTTAATATTGTACTAGAATGGTATTATGGAAACAGAGATGGGTAGATGGGTAGATATAAAATTGAAGGTGGTTCTGGAATGCATTTGTACTGTAAAGCTTCCCATTACTATTCTTGAACAATGTTATTGTACTGGTATGCATGCTCTTTTTATTATGGGAGTTTATGGTTAGTTGAAGTATTGAATGATCTTCTCCTATATAATGTTTGTTAGTAGTCATTCCAAATTTTTTATATCACTGCATTGTCAACATTGCATGGGAAGCATTGTCAGCATTGTTTTATATCATTGCATTCTCAACACTGCATTGCAAGGTATGTATGATCTTCTTCTATAAAAAATTCTTATGTCACTGCATTGTCAACATTGTTTTCTCCATTACCTGTTCGATGAAATGTGTCAATGTGTCTGGATTATTGATACTGTTCTAGTTTGAATTAACATATTATTTTCTATTATGCTTTTTCTTGGCCATAAATTTTATATCAATTTAACTACTGGGTGCAACAAATTGTTTGAGTTTTTGGAGTTTTATTTTGTATTTAATTTTTTTGGTGGCTTTTAAATGTCTCTGTAGACAAGAACATAGGAGTTGAATGGCTTTGAAAATGAACTTATTACTATCAAACATTTTCACAAACACAAAAGTCCAAAGGTATCTTTAAAAAAAATAAAAAATATTTGTCTTTAGTAGTAATAAAAAAAAATTAAATAAATAAATAAAATAATGGCATGGGAAGTATCAATTTCTTTCTATCACTAAATTCAATTTATTTGTTGAATCCCACAAGAGTATTGTTGAATAATTTCTCAACCAATAATTTCTATCACTACTTTCTATCTTCACTTCTCTGTTGGGTTATATACTTGTGTGAAAAGCCCCTTCATTGCTATGAAAATAAATTATTTTAATTATTTGCTTAATTGACATGAAATTATTTTAATTATTTTAAAGTGACATGAAATTAAAGTACTATTGAATCATCATAGTATACTAGATTAAATAAATTTTGTTCTTTATCTTTTAAGTTGCGTAATTGACGAATTTGTTCCTCCAATCACCTTTAACCTTTTCATTATTCTTCAACAAGATAATAATAATAATAATAATAAATTACTGGAATGTTTTTATGGTTCATAAAGAGGATCAAAGGTTCAAATTCCATGGATAAAAAATAACAAATTCTTATATTGTTGTTCAGATCAGATCACATACTTTGTTAATGAATGTGATAGCAAATTTGGGATTACATGGCTTATACAATTTTCAAGTTAATTGGTTTGTTTCATCCTCACCAACATTTGAATTGGACCACACAATGTCCTCAGAGAAATTTGTCAAGTGAAAGAAAAAATTCAATGTATATGGAGCCAATATTTGAATTGGACCAAACAAAATGGTTACCAAACTGAAAAAATTCAATGAAAGAAAAAATTCTTTTGTGACCATTATGTCATGGATTTTCATTATCACTAATACTTTTGTTTTTAAGGGGTCAACACAATATCACAGTGATATATATGGAGCCGATGCATGCTCTTGATTTGAGTTTTGACTCAGACAGTGACGATGAAAATATACAATTTCTGGTATGTGTGGCACTACATAAGTATTGTAATACTTACCTTCAACCTAGACCATGCCGAATGTCCATATTACAAGGACATGACTACATATTAGAAATATTGAATGGCCATGAAAGAAGGTCCAAGGAAAATTTTAGAATGGAACCAGATGTATTTATTAATTTGTGCGAGGCACTTAAGGTATATGGTAAACTGGAACACTCACGTTATCTAACTGTCCAAGAGCAAGTTTGTATATTTTTGCTAACAATTGGTCTCAACGAACGAAATCGTGTTGTCCAAGAGCGATTCCAACATTCTGGCCAGACCATCTCCAAATACTTCAACCGAGTCTTGAAGGCAGTGTGTAGGCTTGGTAAACAAGTTATAAGGCCTCCAGATTTTGATGAGGTTCTTGTAGAAATTCGACATAATCCACACTTCTACCCTTTTTTTAAGGTAATCACTAACAGAATATTTGAAGTATAAATTTTAGTAAAATATCCTGCATTATTAAAGTCATTTGTCAATAGGATTGTGTTGGAGCAATTGATGGTACCCACATATTTGCAAGGGTGCCAGCATCAGAGCAAATACCATATCGGGGTAAGCATACAGTTACAACGCAAAATGTAATGTGTGTTTGCTCATTTGATATGCGATTTATGTATGTATTGGCGGTTGGGAGGGCACTGCAAATGATTCAAGAGTGTTCATTGAAACCGTACATGATCCAGCAAATTTATTTCCAATGCCACCAACAGGTACGTATTATATGGCATTTTGTTAATTTATAATGAATATTCTTTTGTCAACCCATAATAATAGATACATACATGTTGAACAGATAAATACTATGTTGTTGACTCGGGTTATACAAATATGCCTGGCTTTTTATCGCCATACCGTGGTGAGAGGTACCATCTAAACGAGTTTCGTATTCAACATCGACAACCAAAAAACAAGAAGCAAATGTTCAATTACCGACATTCCTCACTGCGCAATGTGATTAAGAGATGCTTCGGTGTCTTGAAGGCTCGTTTTCCAATTTTGAGAGACATGCCTCCGTATTCAACTAAGACACAGAGGTATATCCCCATTGCATGTTGTACAATACACCACTGGATAAGGATACATTCTCAAAGTGACACATTGTTCGCTGAATGGGCCAATCTAGATCGTATCATTGAAGATGATGTGCCTAGTAGAGGTGGTAGTAGCAGCTCGACACATGCAGGAAGTAGTTCTCAGCAACCAATTGACTTAGACATTAGTCAACCTCAACTACGTCACATGTCTGATGTAAGGAATCAAATTGCTGGTCAAATTTGGGAATTTGTCGGAAACAATTGAAATATTATTTATGTGTATAATAGATTGTGGAAGATGTTTTTTTATGGTTTGTGGAAGAATTGAGATGTTATTATTATGGTTTGTAAGTTGTTATGAACATTACACTAATATGGTTATTAAATTTATCTATGATTGGTATTGTATCAATATGATTATTATGGATAATGTGTATGATCCCATTGTCAAAAAAAAAAAATAAAAAAATAAAAAAAAACAATTAAAAAAATTTTAAATTTTTTTTAAAAATAATAAAAAAAAACTAGGCCTTAACAAACATGTTTTTTAGTTTATGTTTTTAAAATTTTTCAAACATTTTGTCTAAACCAAATGCGTTTATTATTTATATTTTTCTAAAAATAAACAAAATTCAGTTTATAAAATTTTTTTAAACATAAACAAAAAATGTAAATGTTACCAAACGTTACCTAAACTTTTTTCAAAATTCACATCACATTTTTCACATAATAAAATAAATAAATGAAAAAAAAAGAACTATTAAACTAACTACAATCACATTAAAAAAAAAAGAATCATTGAACTAATTATAATCACATTTTTCTCTTTATAAGGGTTTATATTTATCTAATTTCAATCATATTAAAAAATCAAAAATAAAATTAAAATAATAAATAAAAAGATTAAATAACATTAAAAAAAATTATTGAACTAACTGCAACAATCATATTAAAAAAAAGAGCCATTGAACAAACTCCAATCACATCACATTTTTCACATGATAAAATAAATAAATGAAAAAAAACTATTAAACTAACTACAATCACATTTAAAAAAAAAAAGAATCATTCAACTAATTATAATAACATTTTTCTCTTTGTGAGAGTTTATATTTATCTATCTTCAATCATATTAAAAAATCAAATTATAATTTTTTATTCGCTAGACTAATCACAAATATTTTTATGCGCTATCGAATTACAATATTAAAACAGTAAACAAAGGAAAAGTGAAGAAGGAGAAAACAAAAAGAAGACTTATTGTTTGCATACGTGGTCACTGAAGTTGAAAGTGTAGAAGTGAGAAGTCAAGAAGGAAAAAATAAAAAGGAGACTCACTGTTTGTAATAGGTATGTGAAAAGTTAAAAAGAGTGTGTGTATTGGAGAAGTTAAAAAGACTTGGAAGAATTTAATAAGTGCTAAGTTTTTTAAAAAAAAAAATCAAAAAAATTATGAACTTAAGGTTAAGATATTGAAACTCTCACAAAATTTATGGATTAGAGATAGATATAGATATATATATATATATATATTTATATTTGTTTTAATTTTTTTTTAATATACAAATTATTTGTTTTGAAAAAGGTACTACAATAATTATGAGAGAAATCAAAAAGTCTTGTGAGTTGAGAGAAGTTAATAATTTTTTTAATATACAAATTATTTGTTTTGAAAAAGGTACTACAATAATTATGAGAGAAATCAAAAAGTCTTGTGAGTTGAGAGAAGTTAATAATTTTTTTAATATACAAATTATTTGTTTTGGAAAAGGTATTGCAGTAATTATGAGAGAAGTCAAAAAGTCTTGTGGGTTTAGAGAAGTTAATAAATATGCTGAGGTTAAATTTTTTTTTTAAAACAAAAAATTAGAAAATTAGGATTGGCATATTGAAGCTCCCACAGGTCTTGGGGGTTAAAAATCCCTTTTTACTTAATATATAGTATAGAAGATATGTATATATTATATATATTATATCAAAATTTTGACTAAAACTCTTACTTCAAGAGTCTCCTCTCATAAGGAGTCATCTCATTGGAAGCTTAAAGAAATTATGAAAGTCTATTCCTATTTATAGGAAAAAAATTTGTTCAAAGAGAATCTAAAAATTCAATATGAGATTCAATTAAATTGTTTGAATCATATTTGATTCGAGAGAGAGTTGAAATTTTCATTTCCCTCCAAAATTAAATCTATCATTCAATCAATTTGTTTGGAAAGAATGTTAAAATTTTTTAATTTCTTTAAAACTAATGACTTTTTTTTGTCAATTATGACTTTATTAAATATTATCAATAAATATTATACAACACTTTTTTTTTATTATTTTAGTAATTATATATATTTTTATTTATTTATAATTTATAATTATATAATATTAATTATGACGTCACAGTTCGACCGCTTCGACCCGACGGTTGAACCAGTGACCCGTCCACCCCGTCCCTTTTCCGGTTCGGTCACCAGTCCGACTTTCAAAACATTGTTGACAAATACTAATGCAGTTTGAGTACGAGTAGTAATTTAAGCGCATGTTTGATTGACAAGATTAGAGTACAAGATTGGAATTATTAATTCGTGGGTCTAATAATCATGCATTTGTTTTGAAATTTTATTTCAGAATTATTAATCCAATAAGGGATAGGAGTGGGATTATATATCCTGAACTGAGAAATAAAATAAAAAGATTGTTTTACCCTTGACTAAAAATTAAAACACTTATTATTTTTATAGAATTTTATATTTTAGAAGGCTAAAAATATTTTTTAAATATTTAAAATATTTTTTGATATTTATTTTATCAAATTAATTTATATTTAAAAAAATTAAAAAACAAACCGAACATCGCCTTTGTATTTTATATTTTTATTTTTCTTTTATTTATTTATTTATAATTTTTTTTCAAAACTACGTTTATGAAGAAATTTTGATAAAATAAAGATTGTAAAGAAACATTGATAAAAGGCAAGATTGGAATATATATATATATATATAGTTATAATTCTATATTCATATGTTTTCTTATCCAATGCAAATCAAACAATGGATAAAGAGATAATTTATCCTACTAATTCAATTAGATAGTGAATACCATACTAATTTAATTAGATTATTAATATCTTCACTATAAGTCTTATGAATTAAACATGGCTTAATAGTTGGGCTTTCAACTCCCAAAACTCCATTGAGCGGTTGAGACAAATGAAAATTTTAGCAATTGAGGAAGATTCAATTCAACTATAACTCAATTGGGGTTTTCAGATAGCAACATTAGGGCATTTCAGGTTTGGGTTCATAGTCTCGTTTGGGAACATGCTAATTTAGTAATTTTTTGGCTATTTGGCTAAAATATGAGCCAAAAAAAACTAGTATGTTTGGGATGACTTTTTGACTTTTTACGAAAATATGTGCAAAAAGTAGAGAAAAAAGATAATCTTTGACTTTTTGGTATGGGTTGTTGGTTTTTTAGCTAATTTAGTAACTTTTTGACTAAAAGGTAGGGTTCCCAAATGAGGCCTTAAAACAACAAATCTTGGATCTATATTTGGTTCAAACAAGAACGAGTAGAGCGCACCTAGACTTGCTTTGCCCCAAACAACATTTTAGGTTTGGGTTCATACAATTAAAACAACAGATCTTGGATCTATATTTGGTTCAAACAAGCACGAGCAAAGTGCACCTAGACTTGCTTTGCCCCAAACAACATTTCAGGTTTGGGTTCATACACTTAAAACAACATATCTTGGATCTATATTTGGTTCAAACAAGAACGAGCGGAGCGCACCTAGACTTGCTTTGCCCCAAACAACGGAGGGCGGAAAAAGATGAAGGAAAGGAAAAGAGAGGGGTCCCACTTTTGGATTTACTTTTAAGGCTATGTTTGTTTCGCAGTTTGAATGGTGGGATTGGATTATTATGGTTATGAGTCCCACTCACTGTTTGGTAGCGAAATAGGAGGGTGAATTGATAGTCCGAGAGGGTTAGTAATCTCCCTCTGAGAGAATTAGCTTGGCTGGGTTTTGAGTGAGATTAGAAAAATAGTGAGAGGATTGAGTCTATTTTTTATAAAAAAAAAAAATTATTATTTTTTTTTACCAAGTGCATCAATTTGTTTTAATATATGTCTGTTTTTTTAAATATAGAAATAATTTGTTTATTTATTTTATATAAAAATAATTTAATAATCCCATCATTAACCATCTTCAACACTATATCATCAAAAGAGTTTTTAAAAGAGTTTTGAATTGAGTTTTAAATTCTGTGTTTGGTTATGAGTTTTGAAATTAATTTTTGAATAGAGTTTTGAGTAATTTTGAATTGTGTGCTTGGTTATGAATTTTAAAAAGTAATTTGAAAATTTTACTTTTAGAATTATGATTCTAAAAATAAACCAAACGCAACCAAAAAAATTAACCTGTAAGATTGAGGAGCATCAATTTCAAGATATAATTCAAGGGTCCAGCTTGTCTCAAGTTGAGATCAAGACTGGACCCGTCCAGTTCGGCCCGTGAGGCCTATTTTTGGGGTCCATTTTGATAATCCGAAT